CATTGGTTTCTATATCTGCTGCTATCCTATTTCTACGATCCTGGCATGTTTATTTTCCGTTGGAGTTCGAATTTCGTGGAAAAAGTTGTGTTGAATGAGAGCATGTCGGCGAAAATGGCACCTCGTGTTTCCTACCTTGTATATTATTATTGTAGATAGAGTGAATTTAAACAAATTACTGCAAATTATCACGAAACTTCGTTGGAGCAATAAGGACAACAACAATTAACTGCAGAGTAAGTTTTATTGATCTTTATTTAGTATTTCCTAGAAATTTTAGGATGATATTTTTACCCCATACAAACACTGTAATTTTACTGGAACCGTACTGTGGTACTATCACAGAGCCTGGGTTACCTGTGCTCCGTCCCGCTTTGTTGTAGCTTCTAAGCAAAGAGAACGGCAAGGAAACAATAGGTTTGGGTTAGCAAAACAACAATTTTGCACGTGCATCACGCTTTTTCTTTGCCGTCGCTGCATGACCACGACGTCAGACTTCTTAATTTCTCGTTTAGCGGAAGAGGTAAACACAAGACAACAATCATCTATAATTCTTTTTTAAAACCTAGACACAGTCCTTTAGAATACAACTCTAGAAAAATTCACTCAGTTTGACAAGGTGATGAATATTGAAACAGCCGTGGATTCACTTTTCAAGAGACCTAGGCCCACACGACGTCGATCTCTGACATGCGTGCTGGGCATATTAATTAAAGGAGAACAATGCCTCAAAATACTTCACTCGTTCCAGGTCAAAAATGTCACGCCTTACGTAGGGCGGGTAGGAGAGAACCCTGGGAACGAGGTTGATTAAGACGCAATCCATTGGAAAACTGAGTAATTTCAATTTTCTGTGGACAAAAACCTTGAACCAGAATAATTTAAACAATATCGCATTCTTTTTTTACATTTTGCAAGGCCTATAGATATAATTAGTTATCTGCAGTAACACCAAAGACTATTTCTCATGGGAGCACGAGAAAATAAATGTCTTGAGGGGGCTCTTTTACTCGCGCAAGTTTTCGCACGGTCTTTGACTCTCGTTCCTCGTTCTTTGCTCCGAAACCGCACGGAAACGCTTGCTACGCAGGCTAGTGGATTATCCGAAATGTTTTTTTTTTTTTTTTTTTCCCTAATCCACTCGTGATCTAAATATACGAGGGGCTCTAGGAACGGGAAATCTAAGGGTTTATGACACATTTTCTTTTTTGGGACATAACCCAAACCAAAAAATCGATTTTTTTTTTTTTAAATTTTTTTAACCGAACTTCCCTCAGGTGGGGTTAAATCAAACTCATTAATAATTCATTAAGAAAATACAAAGGAAATTAATGTTTAATGAGTGTTTGGAAATCGAATGAAACACTGCTTAGTATTTGCATCCTTAATTTCTCCTTCAAAAATGATTTTGTTTGAGAACAAATATCAAACATTCGACACAGTGTTTCATCACCAGATGAAACACCTCGAAGTTCGTCAAAAATACTCCGCTGCGCGTTCTATTTTCAACTCTCTTCTCGGTGTTTCATCTGGTGATGAAACACTGCATCTCATGTTTGATATATTACTTATTGCTGTCTAGGTAAAATGCGTTTAACGTTAGTACATTAGGTCAACAACTTTTAAAAAAACTAGATTTAAAACAGTCACTTTGATATGCTAGCGACCGTTGAGTGAAACTTGAACTGCAGTCTTCTGGTCCAAGGAATTAGGTTTCTTGTTTTGGAATGGTTCTCAATGATATACAGATACTGAATCTTTACATTTTCCATCATTTCCAGATCAAGAGAAAAACTTTAAGAAGTACGATCACGGAAAAGTGGACACCCTTGGCCTCTCTTACGACTATGACTCGGTGATGCATTATGACAGATTTCTATACTCCGTCGATGGAAAAAGGCCCACGATCATAGCAAGAGGAAAGCCATGGAAAAGTCTTGGAGGACAGTTGAGGGGAACTTTGACATCAAACGACATCAAAGAGATCAACGAGTTATATGACTGTTAATAAGGTCAAGAAGCGCGCTCCTTTGTTTTCTAATATCTTCACCGGTGGTTGAGGCGTATTGTTTCCACACTGTAATGTATAATATTAAGCACGATAGTTTTGGCAAATCAATAGCTATTGCTTTAGAGTCAAAAACTAGGAACTTCAACTTGTGCATCAGTAACAAAAGCCCTTAAGAGCCCGGGGGAACTATCATATGAAAGAGACGGGGATGCTTCGGGGAAATTAGCCTGTTCCAGGCGTTCTGATAGTAGAGCGCAGCAGTCAGTGGGGAGCGAGTTAAACTGTACGCCGGGAAAACGGTTTTTTCTTCAATTCGTAAATTTTTCTCCCACCTTCTAGTATCTGAGAGCCTGGAACAGGCTACCGGGAAAATGAATTCCAGACGTTGTTAATCGATAAAAATCGATATCGAAAATCAATCTATTTGTATATCATCGATGTTAATCGATTTGATCCGCCGATTAATATCAACTGATATCGGAAATCGATAGAAATCGAAGTCACAGAAAAAATAATTTATCGATTATTATCGATTAACAAAATCGATAAGAATCGATAGGAATCCATAAAAAATAATTATCACATCACATTTTTTCTTTATCGCTTTCTATCGATCGATATTGGAAATCGATATTCATCAGTGATTGATATCGAGTACTATCGATTGTTATCGATTATCGGTTTATCGATTAACTACGTCTGGTAGAATTTAGCCTCCGAAAAAGACCTAACTGGGTGTGGTTCAAACAGGTCTAGATCAGGACTACGATTGACCCTCCCTTAGTAAGCATAAGTTTTGCACGTTAAACGGTGAAGTATAATCAATATTTAATTCAGTGAAAAATGTAAAAATAGTCACACTAGATTAAACTCAGTTACCACAAAGACTTCTGGTTTGTTACAGTTCAATATGTCAATTTTTTCTTTCGCAATTTTTCCTGATCCCATTGCATATTACGACGAAACTTAATTTTAACTTCGGGTTAACGCCAGATATAAAGATGCCGCATTAGCGAGCAAAGTAAGACTTAATAATTTTCTTCCCTCTAAAACAATTTTTAAGGAAATATAACTCATTCAAAAACTGAAAAGAGCCTCCTTTCGCGACTACAGTTTTGATTTTTTAAGAAAACCTTAACTTTGAGTTTCTGGCGGATAGCTAACCACGTGGTTATGTTGACTGTGTAAAGCGTTCGTCCACGCGGTACAATCTGCCGTGTTTGCGCGCGCGAAAACACGAGAGCTCAATTCTCACACTGGCCTAAAATTCATCATGGTACATCATCTTCGGGCCGCTAAATTCATCATGAGAAATGGACCCGTCTTCATCAGTATCTTCATGCTCAAAGATATTAGCCACCACGCTCTTGTGGTGTTTTTTCCATCTCTTGTCGTATACTGGCATACCGTGAGCTTGTGCTTGGGCCTTCATGTACGCTGATATCTCCTTCTTTGACAGTTTCTTGTCGCCGTTTGCGTCGATATGTGAGAACAAGTCTGCCTGTGGGGGAGGGGGACGAATGTCGAACATCTCCAGCTCATACGTGAGAGTCGTGTTACCTGGTCGCAAAAAAGCAAAAGATTAAAACTCAATTCAAAATATTTCTCCGTTTCTGATTGACTCAAATACCTAGATGACGTTTTTGGTGATATCCAGTGGGAGAGAGAATAATAATCCAAGAACGCCTAGTACTTCTCTGTACCCCCAAAATAAGCAAAAAATTAAAACTCAGTTCAAAATAGTCCTCCGGTTCTTAATGACACAAAAAGCTAAATGCTGTTTTTGGTGATATTCTGGGGGAAGGAGAAATAAGAGCCAAAGGCCCCTAGCACTTCTATGTACCCCCCTCCCCCCCTTCCTTCCAAGCAACCCCCCCCCCCCCTACCCCCCCACTGAGTGATATTCGATCAAATGGCCTCGGTGCCTTAGTGCAGGATAAACGCCAGAGACATCAACCGTGAAGCCCTGGAGACGAGGCTGTGTTATTTTGGTGGGACGGCGAAGAATTTCAACCATTTTGCGAAGAAGAGTTCGAAGTAGGCAAACTACTACTTAAAAACATACCAAGAAAAGCAACTTTTCAACTCTGTTGATTAAATTGCTATTTGAAGAATATCAGCTGGCATCAACATCCCTTTAATTAACACGGGAACTTAACATCGATCGAGGTAAGTATGTTTTTAGCTTGTTTTTAATTAAAATGCATATCACCCAAATTGGTAAAATTTTGAAGAATTCTACCCGCTTTCACCTTTGAAAAAAGGTACAATTTGCATGAATCGGATAATTAACAAGCAGACTCCATGCTCGGTTAAGAGAACGAAATTTGCCTGTTTGAGCAGCTTTTAATCAGAAGACGGTGTAGAAAGTTCCCTGGGTCGAGTGAAACGATGACGTATTTTGAGGCATTTTCCTTAGCTCCGCCCCGCTCTGTTGTAGCTTCTAAGCAAAGAGAACGGCAAGGAAACAATAGGTTTGGATTAGCAAAACAACAATTTTGCACGTGCATCACGCTTTTTCTTTGCCGTCGCTGCATGACCACGACGTCAGACTTTTTAATTTCTCGTTTTGTGGAAGAGGTAAACACAAGACAACAGTCATCTATAATTCTTTTTTAGAACCTAGATACAGTCCTTTAGAATACAACTCTAGAAAAATTCACTAACATTCAGTTTGACAATGTGACGAATATTGAAACAGCCGTGGATTCACTTTTCAGGAGACCTAGGCCCACACGACGTCGATCTCTGGCATGCGTGCTGGGCATATTAATTAAAGAAGAACAATGCCTCAAAATACGTCACTCGTTCCAGGCCAAAAATGTCACGCCCTACGTAGGGCGGGTAGGAGAGAACCCTGGGAACGAGGTTGATTAAGACGTAATCCATTGGGAAACTGGGTAATTTCAATTTTCTGTGGACAAAAACCTTGAACCAGAATAATTTAAACAATATCGCATTCTTTTTTACATTTTTCAAGGGCTACAGATATAATTAGTTATCTGCAGTAACAACAAAGACTATTTCTCATGGGAGCACGAGAAAATAAATGTCTTGAGGGGGCTCTTTTACTCGCGCAAGTTTTCGCGCGGTCTTTGACTCTCGTTCCTCGTTCTTTGCTCCGAAACCGCACGGAAACGTTTGCTACGCAGGCTAGTGGACTATCCGAATTGTTTTTTTTTCCCTAATGCGGTCGTGATCTAAATATACGATGGGCTCTAGGAACGAGAAATCTAAGGGTCTATAACGCATTTTCGTTTCTGGGACATGACCCAAACACAAAAATCGATTTTTTTTTCAAGTTTTCGTACCCAGGCTTCTCGCAGGTTGGGTTAAGGTTGCGTTCTCCTATTCCTTTTTAATGAAACAAATATCGAGAAATACCTTTTTGCTTCTACATTAAAACAAATGAATGATAAAAATGATTTATTGTGTCTATGCCAAATGTCAAATAAATTATTTACGAGCGAATCGAGCCAGTTGAAAAACGTTTCGTGTATTCACACTCGGTTAATTAATACGTAATTTGTTTCAAAAGAAACAAAATTATTTTCTATATGAAGGTCATAACTAGAAATTAAAACAATATCGTCGTGCTTCAAAACGTTATTTAATACATCTTTTAATTTATCACCGGAGGTGTTTAGGAAGTTGAAAGAAAGTACTGCAAGCCAAAACAGCGCTCAAAATAAGGTTTTGCCTATTTACACGCAGGAGAAATAATTTGTTTACCCAGAAAACTTCATTGACAACAAACAATATCAATTTATGTGAGGATAAGAAACTACAACTTAGACTACAACTTAAGATCAAACTGCTTACCGGGAATTTCTCCAGCCCCTTTCTTTCCATAACCAAGCGATGGAGGAATGACTATCTTTCGCTTCTGTCCCCTGCACATATCTAAGACGCCCCTCTCAAAACCTTTGATAACTGTCCCCGTTCCTAGCATGAATTCAAAAGGCATGTATCCCTTGGCCGGGTCAATGGTGGTATCGAACAGTCGTCCATCATTTAGCCAGCCCTTGTAGTGGATCACTACAAGATCACCAGATTTGGATTTGTTTGTGCAGTCTTCTGGGGTGAAAAGATCGTGAACTTCTATCTTAGCGTTCGGATCTGCTTCTTCGTCTTCTTCCTCTTCTTCGTGTTCATCTTCGTGACCTTGGTGTTCATCTTCGTCTTCATCGTCATCTTCATCATCGTCGTCGTCGTCCAATTCATCATGTTCTTCACTCTTTTTGCTTTTATTGTCCTCATCAGAGGCTTTCTTTTTCGTCTCGTGGTCATCAGCGTTTTTCTTCTCCTTTGTCGAATCCTCTTTCATATCGTGAACTACTTCTACTTTAGCATCGTCATCATTGTTCCCAGAATCCGAATTAGCTGCAGTTTTACCTGATTTGTTCTCTTTTGTCGCTGAAATACAAAGCGCAAAAAAGCATAAAAGTAACGCAAACTGCAGAGTTCTGTCCATGTCTGTGATGTTATGATAAATGAACAATAACACGCTCGCCGGAAGGTAGGACCATACGCTCTTTATTTGCCAACAGGTGGTGTGTTGACGCCTACAGGTAGCTGGATATAGCTGAATGGAACTACCTCCCTACTTGAACGATTTTCGCAAAAGAAAAATTTCAAATAAAAACACTAAACACATTCACGGAAGAAACCTAAAGAAGCATCCATAATTTCATTTGTTAGAAAATCGCCAGTTTCCTTTCCTTTGTTTAACCCTCCATTTTGAATATTCAATCATGTTTTGCCACGTATTTTTAATGAGTAATTTACTCCCCGTGTGCCAATAAAATTTACTTGTATTCAATCCTAGCAGTCAAAATGAGCATTTTCGTCACTTAAGGACACTACACAAGAAACCATATTTCCTCAAATAAGCGCATGGGCGCTTATTCAAAATTTCGGCTAATAGTATGGGCGCTTATTAGAAGTTTTCCTGTTGGTAATCAAGCCTATCTTAGTTCCATTATACAGTTTGCACTGAGAGTTTCCAATAAAGTGCCAATAGAAACAAGTTTTCCTTGTATCCCTACTATAAAAATGTGATGGGTGTGGGAAAGGGAGCGCTTATTCCGCGGCTCCCGGGGGGGGCGGGGGGGAAAGAATTGGGGCCCTTGTTTGATATTTTGGCCATTGTCGTGGATGGTTATCAGAGCGTGGGCGCTTATTCGAGGAAATACAGTAATGGAGAGATTTTGAATCGCTATAACGGCAGTTGAGAATTGCTCAAACAAAGCAGGAACAGACAAAAATTGTACAAAATAATTGTTATGGATGAAACTGACACGAAAACTATGAATTTTTGTGTGAAATAAACAGAAAATGACGGGTACAGGCTAAATCTGTTATTAACTTTCTTGTTCAAAATATCTAGGAAAAGCAAAACGGCAAAGAACTAGTCACGAGCACACGCCAAAACAAGGTACCCCATCGCCCCTTCCACACCCTCCCCCCCGAAAAAAAAAAACTAAAATAAAAAAAACTAGATAAAAAATAGAAATATAAAATCCAAACATAAGCCTTTTCGTGATGGTCACCTTTAATTCACAGTTCTTTAGGGTTTAATTCAGACTATTCACATCGTTAACCCTTAAGGCCTAGACAGCATGTACATTCTCCACACTTCTGTTTGTACATTTCTTATGGTATTAGTAAGGAGAATTTGTTTTATAACCAAAATCATTTTCACTTCACTTCATTTCCTTTTTTTCACGACTGAGCAATGTTCACTATGCGGAGAAACTAAGTGCTGGTTACTCTTAGAATTTTAAGGGTTTGAGGTTAACCACCTCGCACACAATAACTACACCAAAGAAAACTGGAATACTGCTTGACCTCTGATAGGAATTGCGGCGCAGTTTGCGGCTCTTGCTTGCTTACCTAGTCTTTGTACGGCATCTTCCAGGCTTTCTTGATTTATGCATTTCGGTTATGTATCTGAGACGAACGGCTCGCTCAGACCATGTCACCCGAAACACATATGTCGTTCGTGTGCGTAATAATGAGGCCAAGGGATTGGGCAAGGTTCTTGCTATTTCTTGAAAAGAGTTCACGAGTTGCGAAAGCTGATTGAAGAGCATGCGCACTGACGGTCTAATGCCAATATATACTTACTGGTCGCCAAAACAATTTTTTAAATTTGTGCCAGAGAAATTGAGACATGCTCACATTACCAACTACTTTATATAACCTCGTTCCTGCCTCACAGGTTTGATCGCAGTCGGGATAGTAAGCCTATAGTAATCATTGCTAAGGCTTATTTTTGCATTTATAATCGCAGAAAGTTTCTCCACAAGGCCTTCAACTATCATATTCTTAACTTTTAGTCACTAAATGAATGTAAGACTTTTCAGAGTCAAAGTTAAACGAACATGTGCTTGGAACTGAGTTCTTGAGTTGGCACCCTTGTGGATTTCTTGTCTACCTTTCGTTGTCTTTGGTTTTTACTTCCTGTGACTGGCTACAGTGGCTTCCAAATCCTTCCATGAAATCTCTTGGTATGGAATGTAACGATTGTTAGAAGTAGAGAGTAGAGAGTAGCCGACCTTCTTACCACAAACGGAACTACGTAAATACGTTAGATAATCAAGAAGGTCCTTTCAGCATTCCAGAAGCTTGTGAAGTTCGTCTTTTCCATGAATCATTCAGTGCTAACACTAGCTTATTAATTCATCCAAGAGTAAACGAAAACCGGGGCCATTTGAAGAGGAAAGCCACATTTTCTCAAAGAACTTGCCTGGTGGAAAATATTGAAAACAAGTTAGAAGGGGTGTTTCCGTTATACTTGCCAACTACAAGGACCTAGTTTCCTAAAGCTACGTGTAAACGGGCGCAACAACTCCCAACATTGTTGGGACTTGTTGCGTCCGTTTTCACACCATTGCCAACACGGACGCAACAACTCCCAACATTGCTGGCCCAACAATGTTGGAAGTCGTTGCGCCAGTTTGCACTTAGCTAAACGTTTGACCGGTTTCAAACTTTGCGCAACAACATGCAACAACATGCAACAGGGTGTGTAAACGGATGCAACATGTAACATCTAACAACGGTGGGAGTTGTTGGCCAAGAAAGTTGCGTTTTGCACGGGGCTTAAATGATGGCTAACAAACGTGCTAACTTGATCAGCTGTGTTGAAGCTCAAAGCATTCATTGCCTGTGATAAAGAGCGACGATTTCTTCCACTGAGGTTATCATTAAAAGACATGAGTTGATGTAGATTGACAGAAAATATAGCTGTACTCATCCTTTAAGCTATTCACTCCAGCATTTTGACGAAAAAAGCCTTTTGAAGCTTGTCGAGCCATTTTCCACCCACAACCTGGCTAAAAAGGAACCAAACCTTCCCAAGTTGTCGTGCTAGCTTTTATTCTTGGTGCCACAAGCTACATAGAGCTTTTGAAGTTCAGGCTTATGCCGAAGGAAAAATTTCGAAAAGTTTATTCACAGCCCCTCGGCTTATACCTTTCCCTTTCTGTCCTTCCTACTTCTTGCGCTTTAATTTTCCTAACCCGTTTTTAATCCCTTTACTGGGAATTTACTGGGCTTCGTTTTTGGTTGGAAAATTTCTTGCAAAAAGCAGAGCTTGAAAGTATTGTGGAAACGTCCAGATGGGTAGTGGAACTTAAACAGGACTTTTTACTGGAGTTTTTTTGGTTCAAATACAAGATTTTTTTGTGTGTTTTTCTCTAGCCTATTAAACTGAGTCGCGCTCACTTTGGTGTATGGTTCCAGAGAGCTCATTCCCCTCCACAAGGTAGATATCAATAATTTTTTATCGTCTCTGGCCGTTGAAACAGTTTATGATATTAAAATTCATGCAAGGGATGGTGATCCACGCACGCAGTTACGGACGGTTCTGTCGTGAATGGGTTTAACCCTTTACGCCTTAAGAGTAATCAGCATCAAATTTCTCCTTGTAATATCAATGCTTTGTAAAACAGTCAGGTCATGAGAATTACGGACATTATCACACAAGATGAATTTGCTTGATATTTTATCAACTTCTCCCCACTACTTCTGTAGGAAATGACTAGGGGCAACAAATGAGAATTCAGATTTTGATCTTAGGGTTTAAAGGTTTAAACAAGAGAGAATACTTGGACAAAGAGGGAATCATAGGACGTTGGCCAGGATATGTGAATTTCCCTGAGGATATTTTTAGAAGTTGTAATTAAATGGAGGTCTAATTCCTGAGGCGTCTCTTTTGATATCACTGAATAAAAGTTTGTGGACCTCTCCGGAATCCACTTTAAATTAATTTCAAGTGTTTCATTTGTCTACAAATAGCTTTGGTGGAATTCGCATATCCCAAGGGCAAGACTGGGTGTCTCTGTCTCTGTCACATTATTCTCTGTCGCTTTAAACAATAAATTACATGTATATCGAATTACCTTTTGTTGATATCCTGTGTGACTGAACAGTAGATACGACTGCTAATGCATTACTCCTTACATCTGCATCAGTAAAGCTGAGCTACAAAGCAAAATTATAAGGTATAAACAACACAATGAGACGATAGTGCACATGAGCTAAAAGCAAACAACACAATAATGCACTCACAAAATGTGATGTGAAGTTTATTGGGTAGCTAAACATCATACACTGTAACAGCAAATCTATAATGTGAATGACTGACTATCAGATCTAAAGTATACAAGTTGTACATGTAGTTTCTACAAATCATTAAAAAACCATGAGGAGTGTGCCATGTTAAAAGAGAAGGTCCTTGTATTGCTTTTGCAGTCAAAGCTCTCCAGGACAGTTTAAAACAAGAGTGAATATTTTGCGAGAATATAAGAAGTGGCCATTGAGGAGAGGTGACCATTATTTCTTTTAGTGGTGACCACCAGACAGAGGTTGGGTAGCATAAAAGGTAGCTTTTCCTTTTTAATTGTGAGCAGAGTCAGCTGCAAGAGAACAAGTGAGTGAGTGGCAAAACTACCCCTCACTCTTGTGCCTCCTTTTGTATGCGGCTTGTCCATGACTTCTGACGAAACCCTCCAAAAGGGGAGCTTGCTTTAAGGGCGCAGGTTGACTCAAAATTTATTATAACCTAGTACTAAAAATATAATCTCAAATTTGTAAGATTACTCTCAAACTACAATGAATTCCTTAGGGCCAACCAACAAGGAAAGACATTAGGAAAACATTCTGATTTTCAATTTACAGAACACTGCCTGATAGTTACATGTATAACTGTGACAGGTTTGAACCCACGAGTCATTTCATAAGTAGGTTGAGTTTGATTGTCCAGGTGATTGTAGTCCTGAATAGGACTGTTATTGCTGACAGTGACTGATGTTTCAACAACCTTTGCGGTGGTCATCTTCAGAGTCAAAGTGAATTGTATCACATCAGTTGATGGTATTAAACTGATTGGTCAATTAAGTCGCGATGTTATTGGTTGTCTGTTAGTAGCATGGCATGAAAAACTTGTACATGTAGTTGTTACAAATCTATCATATGTACCTTTCCCACTCCAATATTGACATATCCAAGCCTGTCACATCTATATGGGTGACCCTGTTTATATGTTCTTATTGCAGTTGCAATGTCATCAGAGGCAGTTCCTACAGAGATAAAATAATAAAAAATACAATTTAAACAATTTTTTTTATGGATGATATTACATGGCTTTGTGTAGATACAAAATTTCTGTTCAATAATCAAAGAGTTGCAAATTTGGCCAAGTTGCCATGGGTCACAGGGAGCACAGCCCTAAATGCTATACTAGAACATTACCTCTTCGAGTTGTTGGCATTTTTTCCCTTAGTATTCTTTGCAGAGGTCTCATTTTGCTCAGAAATTCCAAGGTGCAGAGAACTTGATGAAAGTCTGTCAACTCACCATCAGCAACCTTAATGACAAACAAAGAAAAATGACATCACAAGGATAGCAATAAGTTACAGTGCTAATGAGGAGGCTAAGAAAAGGGCCAGAGTAGATTGACATGAAAGCTGCTAGCAGAATGTTAGTCTTCTAGTAAGTGTTTATAATACTGTATAATAATGTAAAATCAGCATAATGCTGTGTGCCTTAGTCAATGTTTTATTATTGTGTGTCACTTGGCATTTTTGGTCGATTCAGAGCAATTTTAATTAACGCTAAAATTACCAGTCAATAATTTTAGCCAGTAAATTCATTAGAGTACCTTTTTAATGAGCTCTTCTCCTCCAACAGCGTTTGCTCCAGCATTCTTTGCAATCTCGGCAGCTTCATCCTAATGATAAAAAGGGAGTGTTTAACACTCTCCATATTTACATTTTAAACTTGCAAGTAAAATAAAATGTATCAATCAACCCAGATTCCCTTATTTGTAGGTCAAGAAATACCTGATAGTTGTTGTCAAGGACGGCGAGTTGCAAATTTAGCTGAATAAAGTTGATTGTTTGGCTTTAATCTGGTGCAGTCTTCCTTAAGTTACCAACTGGATAGGCACACAACAGGATATGGTTAGGGGCCATCGACATATTCACTTTTCCTCCTCTTAACATCAGCTGGACGTTTAGGGGGTAGGGGGTAATGCAGTGGGCGTAAGTGTGGGGCATTTTTTGGACAAAAGCAAACTGATGCATTTTCATATTAAAATTTTACCTCATGTGTGGAACAGCACTGGTGACATTATTCAATAGAAAGCAGGACCAATTAAAGAAGGGAGTGTAAATTTTGATCCTTTAAACTCTCCCCTTAACTACTAGCAATTGTACATTTTACATTGTGATCTTTTAATTTCTGTACTAAAATATGAAGTTTCTACCACGTTTTAAAAGCAGTAAACTGTGTTGTTACCATTGACATCTTCAGGTAAGTGCATACCAGGGGGAAGTATTCCTTTTCTGGGGGCAGCAAAATTTCAAGTGGACATTAAGGAAGGGGGGAAGGGAGGGGGTCTGACCTAAGCGTCCAGTTAACATTAACCGGGGGGAATATGTTGATGGCCCCTTAGTTAAAAAAAACGACTGGTGAAGCTCCATCCTTGGGCAACTACTGTATGCTGGGATCAACTCATTTACATGGAAAACTAGGTAGAAGGAGTTCAATGAAATACATTCATTGATTCTGCTTTTTAGTGTTGATTTGAAAGATATGATTTATGGTGGATTCTTATGGCTTCCTGTGTTGCCTTTATGAAGGGAGAGACAGCAAATTCCCATGTGCTGACAGGAATGATACAAAAACTAAACTTGCAAATGACTGGTAGATTCTTGTGATTTCTTTCTGATCAACATCTCAATGATAATCACAGAGTCAGTGGCTAAGTTTTATAAGTAATAACCTCTCACCTTTGCAAACACTAACACCTTTCTCTCCTTTCCATATTGTTTTGGAAGCAACATAAGTCCATGAAAAGGATTGATCTTAGTCTGTAATGTACAAGAAAGTGTTCAAAGAACACAATTTACAATATACTCTGACTGTGATTTCATATTTAAATAAGCTTATGAAAGTCTCCGGATTTTAGATCTTTGCATCTCTGCCACTGTCATATTCACGAGTTAGAACAGAGATTTAAGATTTTAGCTTTAATGACTTTAAACAAAACCAACCTTTTTATCTCCCATGTTGATCTTGATGTGCAGCTCGACAGTTTGATCGATATTAGTTATGGCATAAGCACGAAGAGCGCTCAAAGCTTCCGCGAAAGTGTGACTTGGTGGAGCTCTGTAATTTAGAAGAAAAACATCATCTTGGTGCTTCCGCTGTTCAAATGCACGTAGTGCTTTGCGTTTAGCTGCAATTGTCCTCGTATGAAGCAAAAGCGGACCCGAAAATGCGAAACTACGGCGACCAACAAAAAGCCTAACTGCGGCCGCCATTTTGAATTTCGCAGAAAATCCGCTGACAATAAGTTAGTTTAGCGGGCTCAGAAAAAAGGAAAGCAGTCGGAATGAGTCAGAAAGGGTAGTGCATCATGTTTGATTTTTATCGAGAATTGATGGCGTAGAAAGTCTTCCAGATATTTTAATGGCGAAGGCATTCACTTACAGCCGATTACCAGAGCATCAAGTAGCGGTTTATTTCGATGAACACGACAAAACAGGTAAAAGAGTTTTGGAGATGCGCGCCCCTTCAAAACAACTGTATCGAACGAACCGTAGTAAAAAAAGTAAAAAAGCTCTCAAATTTAAGCGGCTAGTAATTAAGCTTAAGATTTTCTTGATTCTAGCATATTTTAACATTTCTTGTTTTTCGTTAGACGGACCATCAGGATGGAATATTGCAGAATCTTTGATCTCGTTCTTCACGTCCTTGCTTCTCCTCGTTACGTTCCCGGCTTCTGTATTTTTCTGCGTGAAGGTAAGCTCGCAGATAAGACGAGGCCAAACTTAAATTTCATACATTTAAATGCTTACTGTTGAGAAATTAACAGAGCTAAAAACTGCAGCTGTCACACATAGCTTAAAGTATGTTCAAAATTTGCCTTTATTAATGAAATGTCAAATTATAATAAGTTCTGAGAAAGAGTTTTTAAATAACCAAAGCAGCGCAAAGCGGTGTTTTATTAGAACAACTTAAAGATCCTGTTTCTGTCAAGTTATTTGAAGGCAAAAAAGAGGAGACTGCTTTTCAAAGGTCATGTCGGTACACGGCAACCCAACGCTGCAACCTTGCGGTTGCTAGAATAGATTTAAATGCGCTTGACCTTCAGCGAAGGGAAGCCGTAGTGTTATGGTTTTCAGGAAGTATTTATAACGAGAAAATGAATCTGGCTAACACTTGTGGTATGGCTATAAAAGGTCCAAACTAATGAGCATGCTCAAAATCTAGATGTTGAAAAAATAGACAACATGTACATTTACATAATTGTACTTGAAGCCTTTTTTTCTTGATGACTGGCTTTATACACCTGTACTCCCTAAATGGCAAGTTGGCCTACAAGGAAACATTTCCTATCGTTTTCCTTTTTATGCAGAAAAGAGACTCTGTAAAGCAAGGAGATTGAAAATGCCTGTGAAGAGACTCTTGGGTTAGGAGGAGAGGCTGACTGCATTATACTTTTGTATTTTGCTCAATGTAACCTCCTTCATCACAGAAAAGGGACCATTTCCCACATTAAGACAAAAAATTAATGTAGCTGCAACTTATGCTGATTTAAAGCTTACTTTAGTACATCATGTATTCGGTAAGCACTTCCCCCTGGGAATTTGTCCTGTATTTGTCAGGTTTTGTGTTTCCAAATGGGCATGCTTAGAATTAACTGATTAATTTAATGATAGAGCGATTTTCGTATGACCTTGAAAAATGGTTTCGGTAAGTGTTCGTTATTTGTTTTATCAGCCAATGGATGAAAAGATCAAAACATGAACTTTTCGTTTTCCCGCCAAAGAAAACCCTAATATGGAGAAGACATTGTTCGATTGGCCAATCGTGTTGCAGTATGACGTCAAAGCGAAGAATCGACTGATTTCTAGAAAGTTCTCGGACATGAAGTTTTTTCACCCGAGCGTTCGCTTAACCAACCAAAAGCCACGCGCGTTTGTATCCGTTCGATAAACCAATCAAATCGCTCTATTTCCGTTCGTTTGTTGTTTCTGTTTTGATCGCGCGTTTTCATTTCAAGGTCAAACGAAAATCGCTCTATACAAGAAAGTATTTATAATTTAATAATATACAGTGGAACCTCCATATAACGAAGGGCCAAGGGACTTGTTCACTATAATGAGGTTTCGTTATTCTCAAGGTTCTTTTCCATATATTTTATTGTTACTGGGGTAAAGAAAATCGTTGTTATACCGAGGACTTCGTTTATAGAGGTTCGTTATATTGAGGTTCTTGTAATTGTAGTTTTTATTGTCAGTACTTACAAGTCTTCAATTTTGACTCACAGCAACTTGAACTTCTGATAAAATCATTTAGACTTTGACTAAATTTTAACTTATTCTGCATTATACATAACAGATTATCAAAGACTATGAGAGAGCAGTGATATTTCGTCTGGGAAGACTGTTACCTCAGAAAGGACCTGGTTAGTTACCATTTTTTCTGCTTGTAACTTCATATTTCACACATGGAACTTCAGTCGACATATCTCTTTCTTACCTCTTATATAACTGTTTTGGACATCTTTAAACTATGGCATTTTATTAAAAATAAAACATCAACTATCAGATATAAAATCAAAAGCAGTCATTATAACCCCAATCTACTATACAATATTGCATCGTAGCAGGATACTCAGTATGTCTTTGCCCTAGCTCCCCCTTCCCCACCCAACAGCTCTTCAGTGTAAAGCTAGGAAAGAGTACTGAAATTGTAGCCTTCTGAGAATGGGCTGGACTGTGCAATTTTCCTCATAATGGTAAATTAAATGCCTGATCAAAAAGTATGCTAGTAAAGAAAGTCACCCATTATGTTAAGTTGCCTGTGTGCAGACGTCTCCTGCAACAAAGGAAATAGGAGACATCTGCATGCAGGCAATATGTTAAGAGGTTGTATTAATAACAGAAGTTAATTCAAACCTACTGTATATTTTGTGGTTCAATTTTTTTCCTTGGTGTAAATTTTATTTTCATTTGTTTTTATTAAACTCATTATCATACAAATTACCATACCACAAAACAGAGGAAAATAAACTTTAAACAAAGGATTAAATTGAAGCACAACATCTACATTGTACACTCACTGCCAACCACTCAGCACTCTAGAGAGACTGGTAGTGTCATTATGTTATTCCTTTCCCTGCCGTAAAAAAGATAGTTTCTAATTTGCAAAGTCCCTTTCTCTAACGTTTTAGAAGATAGTATAAGATTTAAATGCGGCCCCTGTGCTGTTTGTCTAACAGTACTTGGTTAATGCTCGAAAGAAATAGAGAAGTCTTATCTCAGATTTTCAGGCCATTAAATAATTATGAATGTACTTGTATCTTTGAGGCTCATCTTCAGGGCTGTGTCTTGTATATCTATCCAACCCCTAGTCGAGGTAGATCCTCATCAAATATACTTGTTTTGACTGCTTCCCTAACAGCTGTTGGCTGAACTGGTCATAGTTTACCAATATTAATTTATTAAACATAACAATTTTTATTTTTTAATAACATGTCACTTTGATTCAGGTGTGATATTCATCAATCCTTGCATTGATGCTTGGACCAGAGTAGACACAAGAGCCCGAGCATTTAGTGTACCTCCTCAGCAGGTTTTGTATTTTTCTGTTTATGCATGCGCAGTAATACTCATAACATGCATGGACCCAGAAATATAACTTGCCAGAGATTGGCCAGATGGATGTAAGATGGGTCTTTAAAGACCCATTTTATGTATGCAGTACAGCTCCCTTACATTTAACTTGATGTGCTACGGAGAAAAGGGTTGTGATCTATTGAAAACTCAATAACAGGGACCTTCAATAACGCGTGATCTGTTGTGACAAAGGGCTAGGACTTAACACACCATCTTTTCAGTTCTTTACAGTCATGTCTTGGTAATTTTCGTTGTACGCTGGTAGACAGCCGATTTCAAGGAAGTCCCCGATGCAGTCCTCTTTGACTGGTGTAGTTATAATCAGAAACTCACAAGGGGTTGAAACGTGTAACTCTCATATGTTTGCTTTGTACGATGCTCGTGATTATTCATTTTCGAAAGTACCATATTTGGAACGAGAAGAAGAGATAACTGACCAATCAAACTTCATAAACAACGTGACGTAATTTTCCTTCAGGTTCCCGTGCCCGCTTAAAAAAATGGCCGACAAACGGGGGAAAAACTCCCGAAAGCTGAGAAAGCTTTCAGAGGTTGAAACCAGGAATATTACCGAAACACTGAGCAGGATATTATTGCCTTACCACCCGGGCCAAATGTAACATCCATTGATGGCCTCACAACTTCTTGAAGTTCTCACTTCAAAAAACGATGCCTCGTTGACCCTCTGCACAGTAAACTTATACTGCAAATAGGCTTTTAAAATTTTTATGTTAAAAGTCTAGAATAAACAGTGAAAAATGTTTTGGAATAAAATTCATTAGCTGCGTATCGAAAGTGTCCAAAACCTGAACCTGACATCTTCGCAAAAAGTGGTACTTGTAATGAATGTGAGAAGCATTTTAAAAGCTTAAATTAAACTTAGATGTTGTAGTCACGATCGTGTTTTGAGCTAATTTTATGACTGAACAAACTCAAAACAATAGACAGAGAAGCCGTTTCTTGAAAATTTTTATTCAAAGTCCAAAAATTTAATCCTTTAAAGCAATTCGGAAAACACTATCTGGATCGTGGATCCGTTCACGCAAGTGGCATCGGCTAAGCACATGGCAAAATTCAACACAAAATTCATCTCAAATCAGGGCACATTTTGTAATTTTTCTTTAGTGCCAAAGAGAAAAATTTATAAAACATCTATAAAACATTTAAAAATACATAAATTCCCTTTCAAAAACTTAATTTTCTTGGCCATAGAGTGCAAAATGTACCTGAAAATTCAGCAAAAACTTCGCTGACTTGGTTGCATTTCAAAACAGACCATGGGCTCCGCCGTGAGAAAACAAGGTTGAATTCCTCGAAGGACGATTTCTTGATGAAAAGCTTCCCTTTTTCCACAAAAAGAAAGCTGAGCATTCTTTTGAACTTTCTCTTTCCATTTTTTGTCTTTTAGCGGTGTATTTTTAACCTTGAAATGCAGAACTCTTGTCTTAAAACATCCTCGTGGTGATCGCTCAGCAGCCATTTTGTTGAAAATGGATATCCGTCACTAAGATTTCCAAATATGGTCAAAATGAATATTCACAAGCATTGAACACGAGTTTCACGTTTCAACCCCTTATGGGTTTCTGTTATAATTCAATTTTGACCCTGCTCACCATAGAGCCACCAGTAGCTCAGTGGTTGGA